CAGGCTTTTGAGTGTTTCAAATTAAAAACAGCCTAAATAAAATAGATACACAGTTGTAAGGCTGGTTTATGGTGTAAACTAAATGTTATGTGTTAAATTTGTAAGGGATCCTGTCTGTGAAAGTATCAATAAGGCACTCTGGCAGTCAACAGTACTGATGTTGACATCGATGACCCCTTATCGTTACTTACTTAATCCAACATGCTGTAAGATGTAATGCTATATAACGCACACTCACAACACTTCCAGTCAATGCTGTATCAAATAATAGAGATATTGCTGTGGTTGAACAGCTCCTTATGAAGCTGTTTTCCCTTGGTAACTTATATTAAGGTTGAAAACGAGGTTCTTATTTTTGCTGAACATGGACATATTGAACCTGTGAAAGAGGCCTTTATTGGAGATGACTTTACTTTCTGACTTGTAATGAAATGTTTGGATTTGAGCTATATTAAAATATTTTTAAAGAAATTGCTTTTGTTTAATCTAAATGAATAAAAACAGGCCGTTTGTCGCCATCTTGTGGACGCACACAGAGTGCAGTAAAGCGCGGACAGACCGTCGGCATGGATGTATGCAAGGCAGTCACGTATCTCCGGGGCAGTACCGTGCAGTTTACTCCCTAAATACGTGCACCGCGTCATATATTTACCGTGACGCAAGACTGCCGTGGGGCTCCTCCTGAATACATGTGAGGGGATTGAGAGCCTCTCCTTGTAGGGAAATGCTTGGAATTTTTATGGAAAGCCGCACTTGATGCAAAATAGGAGAAGGCGCCGAGACTTGGCTGGAAGGGAGTGGACCCGCGTGGACAGCGACCGGAGACGGATAGGCGCGCGGATAGTGCACTACCTGTAAAGGTGTTACGCGCAGAAATGCAGCTCATGCACTGAAAGTGTAGTTAGTGCTCCTGAGGCACTACACAGTTAACATGTCTCCGTCACTCTGCTTATTATTATCAGGCTAATAGACCTGCCACATAAAAAACGGACTGCTCATCTGTTCCGTGTAATAGCTCACAGCTGGTAGGTCCTATAAAGTGCGACTGCAGCACCTCCATACGATTGCAGGCATTTCTTGACAGAGTTCCTGGTTTGGCCAGCTTTACTTCACTTGAAATCCGAAGTATAGGAAGCCCACATGAAGGGAAAAATTACTTTTTATGGCCATCCAACTCAAACCCATCCACCTGATATGCTTTAAAACCTCAAAAACATCATATTAATGATTAACAGAAACACTGAGGAGCCGAAAACTTCCGGCTTCATAGGAGTAAAACCTCGAACAACAAATTAAAGCTAAAATAAACACCTCCCGCCCTGCGCCTGCGCCCCTGGGCTTTCACCCCTCAGAGCTTTTATTCTCCAAAATACGACATAAAGCAAACATCTGCGTGTAGACAAAGTGTGACTGTGAGAGCCTTGTCATTTCAATGTGACCTGTATCCGCCATTCCCTTATGATAAAACTGCACGGCTCCAATATCTCTAGACCGGAGCGCACGCGTGGAGCGCGCACTGTCTCTCAGAGTAACGACACTCACAGTCCGGTGTAAAGTCACTTGAGCCGAGCCAGCATCTGCGACTAAGGTACCGTTTACCTGCATGCTCTAACCCTCTAAAGTACCGTTTTCTTCTTGCGCAGACCGTCCGCTAGGTATTATTTGTATTTATTCTATTCATTTCTGTGTGTAGTCATCAAAATAACCGCTCAGGAAGTGGCGTGTCAAAAATTCTGGGTATCGATAGGAAGTGTTTTAATCGGTTTTCAGTGGCATTCTTAAATAAACTAATTACACTGGTAGATAGAAATAGCGAATGTGTTACCAGGTTGTGCTAAAAAGAAAGAGAAACTGGGCTACGTGCGAAGGAAACGCTTTTTGGCCTGGTAACTAAGGCTATTGATTACTGCCAATACCGGCTAATAAGCCGCATTTTACCATTTAGGGCCTTCCCACTTTGTCCTACATATTTAATCACTGCTTATGTTTGACTGTAGTTTGATATTATAGATTGGACGGTGAGAAGAATAGTTGATGAAAGTGCCGCATTTCTAGTAGCAGCCTTCAGGTGCCGCAGACAGCAATCCGCTGCACTTGCCCAAATATGAAATCTTAAGGCGTCACAGATCGTCACCGCCGGCCACTGTTCAATCTCCGCACATAGAAGGCAACCTGCAGATGTTATCCTCACAACGAGGCTGCCACACACAGGCTAATGAGTGGCCGTTTCTTTCCCCTTTTGCACCCATTCATTAGATTCTCCTTCCAGAGGTGAAAATGGCCGAGGACATTAAAGCCAAACTTGAGAAATACCGCACCGCTCCCTTTGACGCCAGATTCCCCAACCAGAACCAGACCAGGAACTGCTGGTCCAACTACGTGGGTAAGACTACACCTCAAGGTCAAAGAGGTGCCTGTTGTTTTCTCCAAATGTGTGAAAGCGACTAGAGGAACTGCCAATTAAAGCAAGACCACGCTGTGCTTTAAAAAGGCAATAACAACCTAGTAAAATTTTGGATTATTACAACGTTATTCAGTCATAGTAATCATGATAAAGGCGATCATAGCTCACCTACCTACCCCTGACCTCTGGCCTGAAGATACCCCGGTCAGATTTCTTCACAGGGTCTACTGGAAGGTTATTTTTTGATATTCCCCATTGTTGTTTCTCTTTTTATAGACTACTACCGCTGCCAGAAAGCTTTGGATGCCAAGGGATTAGACACCCAGCCCTGCGAGTGGTACAAAAGGGTCTACAAATCGCTGTGCCCCATCTCCTGGGTAAATATAAGAAATGTTACCATCTCATTTCTAACAGAAAAGCCACTTTGCTGAAAGCGTATTGGCAGCATGTACATGGTAATTTAATTGGTGGGAAGAGTTTGTTTAGCAGGGGTCAAACAACTTTATCATTGCTCACATTCCTGCTCATCCCAGTCAAAATTAAGGAAAACATGGAAAACATAGTTTGGAGATTTGCCCCTAATCATACAGCTGACTGAAAATACATCAACATGTTGTGTTACTTTATCAGCCAAAGCGATTCGACTCTCTAAGCTTTGCTAAACATCACAAGTTATTACCACCTCTCAAACTGGAACGCTTTCTTGTTCCTCCTGTGGTGTAATGACATCTTAACACAGAAAACCAACAAAGCACTACACTAAGGAAAAAAAGTTGGATGTTACAGGTGTGTTATCTTTAAAAGTGGCCCTTAC